ATGGTATAAATTTGGTAAAGCATCCACTTCATTCAGTTTTACTATCACTTTGGGTTGAAATTATTCAGGCGATTTGTGGATTCGCTTCAAAGAATGAATCAAGTAAACTTTGCATTTTCTGGTCTGTGAAAAGTATTCCACTCAGGCCGTTTTGCATCGACCGGAACAAATGGTAGTCAGATGGAGCAAGATATGAACTCTAAAACGGGAGGGACAAAACTTCCCAACTATTTTTTTCTGAATAGTGTCATAAGGAAAAGTATTGTCTCGTGTCCAGTCTCAAATTCAGGGCATTTGTCAACAGTTTCTCACTACGATTTAATGAGTTGCTGTGTGTTTTGCGATCAAACCGGCAGCGAAGCATACCATGCTGCTCTTGGTAGTGAAAGGGTATGGCAACATAATTTCGTCTCAAAAAATGAAGGTCTTAGAGGAAGACACACCACTAGCACTTCTTCCAAGATACGGCGACATGAAGAGGGCTAACTTCGCAAACAAGTTTAAAGTTAGTCTCTACAGGAGGCGGAGTGGTGCGATTTCATATCCGACCTACTACTGAGGGGCAGCACTATCCTGTAGTATAGTGAAATAAATAGACGCCTCGAAAACACCGGAAAACATTGGAACAGGCCGCATACCAATGGAATGATTTCCGAGCATCTTTCAAGTAAAACTCTTTGCTATAAATAAGTCAATATGAAGAAATCAATCTCCGACGTAAGAATTGAAGCCAGTATATCGCTATACTCAGCGATAGTCAAGCGGCACTAAAAGCGATCTCAGCTTATGAAGTCGAATCGCTATTAGGAGGAGTGTATTCGAAGGCTGAAGAGCCTGTGAGTTTGCAAGGTTTAGAGATAAGATCAACCTCTCCCGATACAAATTCCCTCCCCTTACCGCGCTCTACACTGGGCACTGCAATACTCAAGCAACACTTGTCCAGCATGGGTATAGTCTCCTGTACAAATTGCCTGTGATGTGACATGGAACCGGAAACTTTAGAACACTTAATTCTAAATTGTCCAGCAATTTGTAAAAGCAGGCTCAAGGCCCTTGGATCAATCCACGTGAACAGGGCTGGCAACACCTCCATTCCGCCCAGCAAGTTCCTGAAATTGTTCAGAGAGCTGGAGCCATGTGGGCCACCAAACTAGACAGTAGATTTCGAACGCATACTGTGAATATTGGACTAATACGATCATAATAAATTTACGCTGTCTCTTGGAAAACGAATATAGTTATTCAACCAATAGAACCATTATATTCGAAATATAGGGTTTTCCAAAACGAGCGATGTGAATAAAAAAAAAAAAAAAATAAAACAAAAATAACACAAAAAAACAGTTGCTAAGAAAATTCATAAAGAAACAATATTAAAGAATTTCTATAAATCCGTAGGTTGTGTTTTGAGTCAGCCCTAATTCTGGAGAACGTCTTGGAATCGTCAAACTACGGTCTTTAGCAGCGCTTGCCCTAACGGCAAGGCGAAATGTTCAAAAAATTTTCACATGCCGAACACAGATGGACGATTATTACCACCATAAAATGGTTGGTCTGTAGAAAAATTTGTAAACGTTGTTCTTACGTATATTTTTCGTGATAAAATTACAACATTAAATTAGAAATCATATCATCCCTATTGGAAAAAGCGGTATAACAACTATAAATATAGCAAAATTCAACAGCACCTCCAACAAACTTATTTTTACCGTACTTTACCTTTACCGCCGAAATTCAAATTAAAGCCTACTCTTGCATACATCAATATATAGCCATCTATATATTATTTATTTAAAAACCCAGTAAAAATCAGTAAATCAAAACTAATCATTTGCTAAATCTAATCTAGCCCGAGTACTTTTATAGAAGCAATTTCCCAATCAAAGCTATCAAAGACTTAATGAACGTATTAATCGATTAAATTTCGCTGTTTGCTTAATAAATAATAAAAGATTTAATACTTTAGCAAATATTGAAAATTGCAAAATGCTCAAAAACCTGACGGTAAATAAATTTGCAGTTATTAAAAATGTTTTTCAAAGTTATTTTAACTTGAACCTCTTGGAGTGCGATAAAGTAAACAAAAGTATATAAAAATATAAACGCTTATCAGTTAATTACATAAACATATTTATGTATATCTAAGTACTTACACTGCCATATCTTGCCACAGCACAAGTTTGGCGGCTACTAAGCGCCTAAAGTCCTTCAAAACCCGCCTGCACACTAACTAATAGTCTACCAGCTTACTAAACGTAAGTCATTTAAAATGAATACCACACATACACGCAGTAAAAATTATAACAAAAAAATAATAATAATCCTGTACATGTAGATATATACAACGTGGTGCGTATACTGGTGGCGCGCAGTGTTTGTGTGTTACTTAATACCTCGCATAATGCGCTAACAAATTTATAATTGTACGCTATTAATCATTGATAGACGAGGCGCAACAGTGGAACGCCTTCTAATCGCACACTTGTGCACGCACGCACACTAGAATACTTCGCAGAGCCCTCCACCTGGACTATTACTTACCAAACTTGTTCTAACTATGGCGTCGAAATGCAGCCAAAGCAACCAAATCGGCGGCAAAGATGTGTATAAGAGACAGCACTAGAATACTTCGCAGAGCCCTCCACCTGGACTATTACTTACCAAACTTGTTCTAACTATGGCGTCGAAATGCAGCCAAAGCAACCAAATCGGCGGCAACACGAACCATTATTCAGCTGGAGCCAGCTACCGAAACGTGCTGGCAGGTGTTTTTGTTGTTATCGATATGTATTTAGATAGCAGTAGACCGCGTGAAAAAGTAACAATAAACAAAAAAAAAAAAGTAAAAAAAGAGCATAAAGGAAGCCGCCTAAAAGCCAGCGAAAGCCCACGGGTTTTCCATAAATAAAAGAAAATAAAAAACGTGAAAAAAGCTTGGAAGGAAATCCAATATGAACCACTGAGATAAGCGAGATAAGCACACGCCGCACACACGCGCAGCTACCAGCGCTCAAACTGTGCTCATACGCGCTGTGATAGCACACGCTCTCTTTCTCTCTCTCCTTTTTATGCGCTCAACCAGCAGTATAACATTTCTCCACGAAAGTGCGCTACTGGTATACCATATGTAACCACAAAATCCCACCAAAACAATTGCCAAATGATTTGTCTTTTGGCCGTCGTGGTTAGTTGTCGGTGCGCACTCTCGCGCCCGTTCGTTTGCTCGCACATGACTTTTTGCTAGAGCGCGCTTGTTAAGCGCTGCACAGCCGTGCAGAGTTTGTGATGCTGAAACGCTACAGCGCATTCACCACACATATTTTAGAGATTTTAAAATGCCACCCACCACCCACAGTGATGTGTTTTAATTAATTAAAGGAATTTAATTTTTGTTGGAAAATTGTGGGAATGTTTAACTAATGGGGATATGTTAACTAATGGCATCGCCCATTATAATAAATAATGAATACCTATATTGACTTGAAGTTAGTACAAAACTTTTTGCAGAAATCCATGCCACTCTTATCGAGCCTGACCTTGTCGCCTGACCTGCCTGCTCAACGGTATTTTCAATAATTTCTCGCAGCCAAAGTCAACTAAGCCACGTTTTTTTTTTTTATTAAAAGTGTCACTTGTTTTAACATTTACACAACTTCAAATGACATTTGTGCCGACTGTCAAAATTTTCACAAAAATAAACAAACAAAAATTGAGCGCTTCAACATCTCATTTGACAATACACTCCTGCAGAGCAATACATCTACAGGAGTGCATAGGCGTTAGGTTGGCGCACC